ATGTAGCTCTGTACCCCCCTCCTTCCAAGCAGCACCACCACTTTTGTAGCAAGCATGTCCAATTAAAAAAACGAACATCGAGGAGTAAATTTAAATCCATGCTGTATGCATGCAGAATTTGTGCAAAAAAAAAGTTTAGAAGGTGATTAAAAATTCCATCATTTCGCTATTCTGCTGCGCTAGCTTGTCTCGCTATGTAGCGCATGGGTGATGCGTTATGCTTAACTCTAAAAACCTATCATGGTTAGCTATCTATCCAAAGAGTCGCATAATTCAACCAGGTCTTTGCCTATTAATTACTTAATTTAGACGTTTTCGGTACTGTACAAATTTTAATGGTCAAAATGTGGAAGAACACACTATATACCAATACATTAAAAGGGTAGTTAACCCATGAAAATGGTGATAATACTTAGGGCTTTGATTGGTTTTTTTAAAAAAACTTTTCCTCAATACAGTTGATGTAATACATGCAATTTAAGCAATTGGAAATTATGATTAAAAATATTTTTGGTAGTTAAAAAAGCTTCTCCAAAAACATGTAAACAAACATTAAAGAAAAACATATTGCAATCCATGCAGCCTTTCTGGAATTTATTGTTTAGAGACGCCATGTACAAACAAAGCAACAAGTTTCAGATAAATTTCTATTTTTATTTAAATATGCTTTACACAATAAACTATTTACATATACTGTAACTGATTACTAAAATATACAATACATTGTCAATCATGAATAAAAATGCTGGATTGAATACATATGATATGCTGGAAACCAACATAATGTAAAAAAAATAAATAAAAATAAGGCATTCTTGCTGCACTATTAAATAATTAAATTGTATACACATAATTACAATATTATTGCACTGGGTTGTTTGTAGCATTAAGTACCTGTACTTGGCAGATTAAATTACAATCACTAAAAAACATTTTTTATGTGTATATAGCTAATTAGAAGATTATTAAAATAAACAATTCTACTATATTTGGCTGGTGCATATGAACTTCTATTTAGAGACATAATTTCATTATTTTCTTTCCAAAAATATTATTAAACGTTAACTAGCACCTCATAACGACTTTTACATGATAAAAATCGGCTCGGTATAACACATTTTACCGAGTACGAAATTTAAGTTAGTGGAACATTCTGCTGTTACATCTTCTAATTTTACCCCGCCGTTGTATTTAGGTACACGCTACAGTGCACACAATGAGCCAACAACTTGGATATTAGGATATCATTATTTAACTTTAAAGCCAATATTTGGCCAATGAAATTACAATCACTAAACATATCTTATGTATATACAGCTAATTAGGACATTATTAAAAAATCATTGTGATATTATTATTTAACTTTAAAGCCAAGTGCCTATACAGTATTTTGCTGATTAAATTACAATCACTAAAAAAACATTTTTTTTATGTATACAGATAATTAGGTCATAAAAATTCATTATGAGATTATTACTTAACTTGAAGCCAAGTGTACCTATACTTGGCTGATTAAATTACAACCACTAAAAAAACATTTTTTATGTATATACAGCTACAGTAATTAGGAGATTGCTAAAATTTCATTGGGATATTATAATTTAACTTTAAAGCCAAGTGCCTATTGGCTGATGAAATTACAATCACTAAAAACATTTTTTGTGTATATACAGCTAATCAGGACATTATTAAAAAATCATTGTGATATTATTTTTTAACCTTAAAGCCAAGTGCCTTTACATTATTTGGCTGATTAAATTACAATCACTAAAACACACATTTTTTTATGTATATACAGCTAAAAAGGCATTCTTGCTGCACTATTAAATAATTAAA